AAGGGTGCTTATACCTTGGACAAACGGCTTGCTCCGCGCGTTAAGGAGGTACGTCTGGATGCTACATGTAAACCCACTAATTTTAAGGATAAGTGACCGTGAATTTAGCCTAAACAGAAAGACGGTATATACATAGCTGCAGTAAATGTGGTGTGGAATATTGTTTTGTGCACAAACGTTTCTTATATTTTATATTAAGGCTTATCACCCTGTGATAAGCCTCTGTTGAGATTTACTGACATGTAAACTCTTTTCATTAAAGAACGACAGGAGTCTCCACTCCAAGTATGTCAGGTTGCCCTGACAATTATCCGGCAGGAATATTTTGCAGGTTGCAGGTTGCAGGTTGCAGGTTGAAATTTAATTATAACTGGAAAACCGCTGGCACTAAAAATAATTAATAACCCACATACTCGTCAGGGGTTGTTACATAAAGTAGTCGGCGTCTTTCACATAAAAACACGTGGAACTTCACCCTTCGGTAAGTATATTCCGTCTTTTGTCATCGTTTTCATTGTTTGGTTCCATAAATGTGTCTCTTTATAATTATATTTAATTGCTTTTGTCAATTCAGAGATGGATGTTCAGGAAACAGAGGTATTTCATTCATTATTTTGATTATCACTCGAATGTTGGTGATTGTTTGATCTCAAGAACATTTTGATGATTGATGGAACAAACATTTATAAGCTTGATACGATCATAACGATTATTGTTTCCTTCCTATAAACAGAAACGTGAGGTATTGGACCTAACAGTCAGGTGATTTTACAATTTAATTTTGTCATTTCGTGAGTGTAAGTACGTTGCCTGAGTACATGTACAAGCTGAGTTACTGTACAATTTTTAAAAATGTTTCCCCTCTTTTCTATATTCTTAGCGACACTGAATCCCACAGTAGTGGAGAAGAGGTAAAAACAGCAGTAACAGCAGCACCTGTTCACTTATGAATCTGCAGAAATCGAGGACACAAATTTAAAGTGTTGTTTATTTCCGGCTGCAGGACTTACAAGGTCAATCCGACGAAGATCAAGAAAACACAAGTGAAGATGAGAACACGAGGTGAAATGTTTGCCAGTTTTTCTCCCCTGAGTGAATCAGAAAGAGTTAAAATATAACAATATGGTGTCTCTTATTAAACTTGCAGAGAAACAGAATTCTTCAAGGAGGATCAAGCACTTCCAATTTTGTATCGTGGCAAGAGAAACCTATCACCAAAACAGAGACTAGAAATATTGTATCTTGAAGTAAATGAAAGTAGAGTTTGTTCCAAACGCCCCCTCTGCGTTGAAGAGAATTTATCTTTTGTTGTGAACAGATCTTTCCTTAAGGATACAAAGGACTGGCTTATTACTGACAACGGTTCTTTCAGAAATTTGGGAAACTCATTCAAAGTATTTGGAATAAAGAATGGAGAAGTGAGTATTATTTCACTGTCATCTATTC